TGAAACAGGATTTAAGGGCTCCCAGGAAAACAGGGAGCAGCCCAGCTTTCCCCAGGTCTGGCCCACGCCAGCAGGAGCAGGTGATCCACCTCTTACCCCACAGTCCAGTCTGACCATCCCTAATGGGAATCAAATCCCATTTGATCCATCCACAGCTGCCATTCCTTATGTCGACTGAGCCCGGCCGTTCTCCCTGCTCTGGGAGTGATTTATTGCATTTCCTTCCAGGTCATTGCATTTCCTCACAAAAGTGCTCATGGAAATCCTTTTTCCTCTTCTTTTGGAGGAGCCAAAGGACCCTCAAGCTCCAAGTCCCTCATGAACCCCCTTTTCTCTGCTTCTCAGACCATTCCCATTGTTCCTGGTTCCAGTTCTCCCAGTTTCTCAGTCTTTTAAAGCCATTGATACACTGCAGCTGGATCCTCTTTGTTCCCAATATTTAGCACAAGGCAAAGCCAACTCCCAATCCCTGCTTTCCTGTCTCAAGCTCCCCAGTCCCAGGATCCCACTGTTTTTGCCCAAACTGTGGACATTTAATGGTTTCTCAGCACTGACAGATGACATTTCCCTTCCCCTTGGCCTTGTCCCACTCCTGGCCTGTGCTGAGAGCAGCTCCACCCCCAAACTGGGGGTGAAAACCCAATTTTCATACACTTCCCGGCTGGAAATTTATTAATGGGACCTTCAGATGCTTCCAAATCCCAGAATTTAGGAAAACATGTTATTTATTAACCAGCTTTTGGGCTGTAGCCCTGTTGTCACACACCCTGGTCAGCAGAGATCCAGGGAGGGTGGCCTCAGGATTTGGGCAACAGGGGAGGGAATTTGATGTGTCTGTGGGTGTTATCAATCCCCCCCTGCAGCCACCACCAGGCCCTGGACATGGACTCTGAATTCCCTGGGAAACCCCTGGAGGAAAAGCCAGAATGGTCTGGGAACAGACAAACCATGAGGGAGCTGGGAACAGCCCCTGGAGGTCCTGGTCCACAGTCTGGGAGGAGGGCATGGAAAACCTATGCAGTACCCTTGGGAAAAAGAGGAAATACAGGGATGTTTATCTGTCTGGACACGTCTGGGCTGCAGATACAGGTGTGGATGCTCCAGATCCAGCACAGGGACTCACAGCAGAGAGATCTGGATGGGAGGGATGAAAAACCTAAATGGAGGACCAGGAACAGAGAAACAGGATGGACAACCTGGGTGGAGAACCAGGAATGGAGAACCTCCATCAGGATGCTGCTTGGGAGGTGTATCCCAGCAGGAAAGGCTGACTCATGCCCTGCCTCAGTTTACCTCAGGCAATGGGAAGATGGCTTTGGGAAGTCAAACCACCAAACCTTTCCCAGCTTCCTCCAACAACTCATTCCTGATTTATCCCAATGCTCCTGTGCCTTGTCCTGACCCTTCCCGGGATGCTCTGGCAGTCCAGTGTTGGTCCCACAGCTGCGCTCCCGAGCAGAGCCGGGCCGAGCCCGATCCCAAAAACCCCGGAGCCCCCGGGGCCGTGACACCCTCTGGGATTGGCACCACGTGGCTGCGACCCCTCGGGATCGGGCAGCGGCTCCGA